GTTTCCCGTTGGGTCCCAGCAGAGCCCATGTCTGTTCTCCACAGGCAGAGCCCTGAAAATGAAGTCCAAGCTGTGAAAACACCACCCACCCTGCACCAGGAATGCATGCCCTAGAGCACAGCGTCTTCAGCTCCTGCCATGGTCCAGTCATCAGCTTTTTGGACTTATTAGCAAGGTAAATCCTGCTGACAAACTATCGAGTCTACAAAGAAATATAGTAAATACAGTGAAGAACCACAGCGAAAGGCAAATGCACTTTACATAAGAAAGTCTGAAAAGGTCACCAGAATGTTTGTGAGAAGGATACAAGTATTTTTAAATTTTGAACAATGAGACCAAAAGGTGGACAAAGAAACCACTGTGTTACCACCCCAGGGAGCGAATAAAAATTGTCAGAGACTATGAATTAATTCTAAATCAACTGTGCTGTAATGAAACCCTCTACAATACAGATACTGATTCACACACTTCAGTGTCATCAGAACAGGGCTGTTAATGAATGTTTTTCTGGAACTTCTTTAGAAGTGGAGATCTCAAACTCTCATTCCTCTCCCACTCCCTCTGGACAGCCTTTATGCAAGACAGATAAAAGAGGAACTTCTCATCCACAGCCACACAGCACCGGAGGAAATTTCAAAGACAAAGATCAATGCCTAATCTTCCAATTTTTGGCATGAATCTTATAATTCAGGGTTATTTCCTACTTGATGATTCCCAGCAGCGTATCTTACTTATTTACACAAAGACAGGAATTAACAACAGCTCATGACATTTTTATTTTAATGAAATTTAAAAAGGCAGTTATTAGTTATACATACACACAACCGATTCTGTACTTGTTAGTCATAAATATAGAACATTCAGAAGTACAAAATACACTTTATCCACAGCACAACTTCACATCAATATGAAGAGTTTAAACAGATACGTAACCAAGTGCCTAACAATGACAGAAGCCCATTTTTGGAGTTGTTTTATTTTTCTTTTCTTTTCTTTTCTTTTTTTTTTTTAAAGACCATTAATCTACACAAAGTAATCAGTGCCCACAGTCATCAGTTCCATGAAATGCACTCTGGTTTAGAGTAGGAAAAGACCGACCTTTTAAAGACAATTAGATGCCATCACCTTTTCTTTCCTCCATTAATAGAAACAAAACCAAGCCCACATTCTCCTCTTCTCACAGCTAACAACTGTGAAAAATGGGACTCTGGCAAAAATCACCTGAAGCCAAACTTGAGCACTGCCAGGAAAAGTGAAAATATCTGAACTACAAATTAGTCCACTCGATACCTTGCAAACAAAGAGCAACAGCAGTATGACACTGATAAGGCATTAATGACAAAATGGCTGTATTATTCTCGAAAAAAGAGTACACCTATGTATAAAAATATATGCCATAGCAATTGGGTAAATCCAACACTATTTAACACTGTGCCAAAAGTAATTAAGAGTTAAAAAGGCAGTACTGCAAGAAGTATTTACAGTTTCATACTGTACTTCAAAAGAAAAAAGGCAACAAAGCTACAAATGGAACTATCTGGTTAAAAGCATCACCGTAGCTACTGCCAGTAGCACTTGTAACAAGTAATGTGATGGAGTCCCTCTTGTTCAACGGGATTGCTTGTCTGAATAAATGAACGTAAATGTTTTAGTATCTAAAATCTTATTAGTCTACATGCCCGCTCATTGAAATAACTCACCCAGGCCATTACTATTTGCGGTTTCTTGCTCCAACAGTTTAAAAACCAAAAGATTCCATTTCAAGAAACACTGTGTTTGCAACACAGTTTGATCAGAAATCACAGCTTTATTTCCAGCTTAAAAAACACAAAAGAAATGAGAAATCCACCACCTGTGAAATTCCGGAAACTGGCAGCTGAAGTGCCAGCAAAGCTACACCAACGGCACGTAATAAAAAAGTTAGCATTCCAAATGCACGTTATAACTTCAGCTATAGGATAAGTAAGTTGCTTTAGTAACCAAACACGTGACAAAAAGATACAGCACAGCCAACACTACACAGCTTTTTCGGCCACAAGATCTGGGATGAGGCTGTTTCAGAGGAGCAAGCCACTGACACGATGGCAGCACAGGGCGAGGGCAGCGCAGGATGCCCAGCAGCGGTAGCAAATGCTGAACTTGCTCGTTCGCTCGGTCAGAAGCACAAAGTTGCCCAACTTTAAGCTCATGAAGTGCTCCCTCCTCGGTGGCTCGGGAACGGCAACCCAACGCCTCCCACTTGGGCGTGGGAAAGCGCTGCAGAGACGGGATGGCCGGGAACGGGAGGGGAGGTAAGGAAGGGTGGAAACGCCAAGAAGAAAGCACTGGCTCGGGATGGCAGAACAGAAACGGGGGATGATAATGGCTCACAGGGAGAACCCAAACCTGGCACTATCCAGACTGCCCCTTAACAGAGTCGCCATCCCCTTTCCCAACCAGAAAGGCAGGAGTGGTCTAAAAGGTGAGAAGCAGTCCATGCTCTGATGCTTCAGGCATATTGGCTTCAGAAAAATAATACTGTATGTAAAAACAACAAAAAAAGATGTGCTTGAAATTCTGCTAACAGTGCGCTTCTAACTGCACAACCAAATTCTGTACACGAGAAGGCTTCTACAGTAGTATAAAAACCATGACACACTAAGGAAGTTATCATTGCTGATGTTAGGAGAAGTAAAATTACTTTAAAAACCTTATTTTTAGATTGAATTCAGGAACAAAAGTTATAAATATACTTTGAGCAGTTTGTTGGGTAAAATAGAACAGAGGAACAGCACTTTTTCAATTCATTTTTCACTTTACGGAGAAATATTTTTTTAAATTTTAGAACAACTGACGTTTATCATGCCAAGTATCTTCTGTGCAAAGATACAAACTGCTCATCTACTGTTCTCTCCCTGGTGATTAGCCCCTTTTAAAAGCACACCCTGCTGTACAAATGCTGACCGCCTCGCTCAGCTGGCGCAGCATCTAGGCACCTTTTACAGACATCAATGAATGTCATTCTGGGACAGCAGAGCTTTGCCTATCTAATTCAATGAGCAGTCATTCATCCGAGCGGCGTGAGCGAAAAGGGAGAAGGCTCCAAGAGAATAAACAGCCATGTATTTAAAAGACTAGTATGTAAGCGCATGGCTTGCTCACCTAAGAAGGTATTTTCCTGATCTCTGGGAGAAAAGAGATACGAGGTTTTTTGTTTGTTCTCAGCGTGATTTTGGTGAGGCAAGTACAGACCAGGAGATCTGAGGCCTCTCCAGTACTGCATCTAGAGATATAAAAAAATTTCCTAATAAAAAGGAGTTCCTAGCTCCACTTGCACATAGGGTAAGAGATTGGTCCCAGATTTAGTGAGAGAAACAGTAGGAAGGACTCTTCCTGGATACTGAAAACTACATGCTGTTCTCGGAGAAGGCTGGGAAAGCAAAGTCAGACGGGAACTCCACCCTATGGCTCAGAGTTAAAGCCACGTCCCTGGGTCATGCTCGCTGCAGCCCAGCCACCTGCATTGCTTGTCAGCATAAAGCCTGTGTGGCCAGAGCAGGCTGCTGGACGGGGGCCTGCCTGCTTTTCAAGATATTATCCTGACAAGGTGCACTGCAGTGATGTGCACGGTACCTCCCGTCGGAGGCAGCCCGGAGTTCGAGAGGAGCTATGAGAAGGCAGGCCTTAGTGCTCTGAGGTCTAAGAATTGCTGCAGACACTGAGATCTTCTAAATGGGGGCTATGCCCTGGGGTTGCTGTTTCAAGGTCCGTGATGGCCCCTGAATACGCGAAGGCCGAGGGAAGCTGTCCCCTTCCTCCTCTGCAAAGGCTGGCTACCACCGTCCAACCCTGAACGTTATGAACAACCTACAAGCGGGAACTCTGGGCTCCTTGTCCTTCGTGAGCGACTCTTTCTCCTCCCATCCCAGAAGAAGTGATCTGGATAAAAATGCTACCCTTGCAACCCAACCTCTGTAACTCAACTTGCATATGAAATGCTGAATAAAAATTTCTGGTGAAGACATATGGTAGGTGACTCGCCCAAGAGGATGAGGCGATTAACTTACCTCTGTGGAAGAGCATATAGCATTCAGAATAGTCAAGAGTCCTCAACATACTCAGTAAGCTGAAAATCCCATATTTAACAGAATAGGGTTAACAGGGTTTAACAGAAGTGATTGCTTGGGAATCCAAGCAAAAATTCAAGTTATCACTGTGTACGCAGTGGACAATAGTCCAATTGATATCTATTACCAACTCACTCTAAAAAAATTATACACTACAAAACCATCTCACTGCTTGCAGCAAATGAGCTTGAATGATTTCCTAGTTAATAGGCCACCACGTTGCACTGTTAAAATGTAAGGTTTCACAGTATAAAAAAGTACTTCACAGAAAGGAAATGCAGCTAATATAGAAAATGCAATCTTGATGTGTTTACAGTCTTTTTTTACGAGGCAATATTTTTGGGAAAGCAAGAACAATACAAATTAAAGCAGCCAGTGAGAAATGTATAGAGTTATAGGCCTCAATTCAGTGCAAAAACAGACTAATAGCTTATGTAAGTAAATGTTTGTTCTGAATAGAGAACCACCTGAATTAAAAGTAAGAACACCTATGTGAAGTGATGGAGGCTCCCACGATATCTAAATCCTCCACATACATCGTCAACCTTTTCAGTACACTCCAGAATGGACCCTTTGTAAAGGCAAAAGAAACCAGTACAGGAAATCACTTCATACAGCACAAGATATACATAAAGTACCAAAATGTACACACATTCAAGTTTAAGTTAGAAAAGGCGGAGCTGAATCTTCTGGTGAGAGAGGCCTACGTTATGTTGCTTAATCTCACATTTAAAGTGACCTAAAAACTACAAGAATCAAAGAAAACAGAATATTGTGTCTGCTTCCAGAAACTTAAGCTTAAAGCAAGGCATCGAAATTGAGCGGTAGGCACTGTAACAAGACATTACCTTACCTTTTCTCTGTTAGTCTTTGTTACTTTGTTATCTATTTAAAAATTACCATTCAAAGGAAGTATTAGGTATCATTCACATTCAAATATTTAAGACTCAGAGATTTTTTTTTTTTAAATCAAGCGAAGTTTTTCATCTCTGAGGTAGATGACAATAAAATAAAAAAAAAAATAAAAAAAAAGGAGCTGTCAATGAACACTAGCAAGTGCTGGAGCTCCTCTGTCGGTACTGATGCACCCCAAGGAGGAGAGAGCAAGCCCTACACCACTATCTGAAACATGAGAAATGTGTCTTCTGGTTTAGTAGCTTCTACAGAAATGCAACACAGAAAAAGCAGAGCCAAAATTACACTGAAACGGCCTTGGAGAAGAACTTCCATTTCTGCTTCGCAAGCTACTCAGAAAATGGTGGAAACATGCCAAGGTCAGCAAAATCTTCAATGTTGTAATTGCCAGTACCCTGCGTTGGATCCCCCGGCATTGGCAGCATGTCCTGCACGATAAGGAAAAATCAAAGTGAAGTGTCACTTGCTAACACGTTATCCAGACACAAACTGTTTCCTGTTCATCTTTTCAGTGTAAACCCAGAAAAGGCCAAAGGTTAGATAAATAAGGTGAAAACCAGACCTGTGCAAGGGCTGGGCTAAGGCTTATGTGCTACTTATATTTTGCTGGAGTGTTTCTGAGCAGGAAGTGGGACTTGAGCAGGGCAGAAGTTTTGGATTGCTCCCCTGAATAAGGCACCTTTGAGCTGCCCCATACTCCTCCCAGGCTGAAACAGCTCCCCTTGGAAGGGGTAGCTACACATGGAAAGAAGCAAACTCTCTGGTTTCACTATATGGGAAGTATTCAACAACTCACACCCGCACCCAACAGAAAGGAGCTCTTCCTCTATCAGCATGGGTTTGGGGAGGGTGTCATGTCCTCACTAGCACTTTGTAAGTGAACGTATTGCTGCTCTTCGTCCTCTGAGGAACACTAAAGACTGGACATCACCCCAGCTAACAAGATGCCCAAGCAGCTTTCCTGCACGTACAAAGGCAGAGGAAATAGCAGGAACTTCTCAGGAGAAATGGGATTTCGTGGTAATTGCTCCCACGTGTCTTGAGCCAAGTGAGGTCCCTGCAGGAGGTTTCAAAAAACGCTCAACCTCTCCTCTCAGCCGGAGACCGAAGCCACAGGGAAAAGATATCCCTTGCTGAGAAAACCAGAGTTTACGCTTGCTTTTCCTGTCAGTCCTTACAATAATAAGCTCTTACTGCAAAGCCAAGTTTTGCCAGGGATGGCTCATTATCCTTACAATAAAGCAAAACCTAAAGAGCATATAAGAAAGCTCACAGGATCTGCTCTGTGAAGGAATAACTACTGAGAGCTGCTGCGTACTGAGAATTTACCCCAAAATAAAGACAGATTAAAATCCATCTGAGGTCTCTGTAGCATCCCTGTTGATGGTGGTGAAAGAGGCTGTGAACTCAACTGGCAGCTTCTCAGCTGCCAGGGTCAACCTTCATTTTCTGACCAAAACTTGCAGTTATTTTATGTTTTCCCACATTCCTCCCCAGCCAAGGGGAAGTTGTAGCTGCCCCCGCCTGTTTAAATTGCCACCACTTTGAAGGCATTTCTGCTGCTGGGGCCTCCGAGGCAAGGTCTCCTCAGGAGGGTAGCTCTATTCTCAAGTCTGCCTCTCTCTTTATGTCCAGCTAACCCAGGGTTGGCTTCAGGCACAAACAGTCCAAGCAACTTCTTGGAGGCCTTTGAACTGAGCTCATCTAAGTTTCTCATCACATCCAGCTATTATCCTAACTCCCTCTAAATGCACAGTCACCTCCAAGAGCTCTTCAGGTGAGCCCAGCTCTCCCTTTCTCCCTTGGCCCTCTTTCCCACAAATTTCAGAGGACATTTGCTGGGACACAGCGCTTGCCTGAGACACAAGCAGGATGCTGCTTGGAACCCCGTGTCTCTGTGGGCCATCAAATCGCGCTGCCATCGGCTCCACCGGAATTACCCTGAATATGCTTTTGGGTTAAAGTACGTGCAAAGTGATTAAACTTTGCTTACAGAGAGAGATGCAACAGATTAATCTTGCCTGGGCCATGGGGTAAGAGCATGCAGACAGGTAGTTATTCCAGATGTAGTGATGTTATTTGTTCCTGTATGAAGCAATGGTTCATTCACACAGGAATATTTTCAGGCTAATGTCACTTCTGCAGCATTCCTGCAAGCAACTGAACATGAGCCCGGTCTTGCAGGTGAATTTGCTTTCTAAAAGATAACGAGGTGCCCCACTTCTAAACCTTGCTTGGGGCTTGAACTGTCTTTTCTGCATTTATCTGCATTGTTTTGTTGCAAACTGTCTTCTTGATCTAATCTGAAAACAAGTTATACAAGGACAGAGACCTTATTAGTTAACTTAAAAAGTCCCACTCCATCTGCAGTGAAGGCCCAAAATAATACTTAATATTACAAAATCAGGTAGTTGAAGAGGATTGTTTACCAGCTATCTAATATCTGACTGGGTTTAACCTTAAAAAATTATTTGCCACTGTCTTCTATGGGGTACCAGACTCCTTTCTTGCTTGAACTATCAGAGAGAATTACACTGATGTCTAATTGGATTTGACTGGGATTTTAGAGGCCAGCACCAGGATAAGACAGACACTCTGTTTGGGATTATCTCATGGCTTCCCTGCAGAACACATAAGCCCTAAGTACAGGGTGCAAAGAGAAGGGAAAACAGTACTTTAAATCAGCAAAGATGTTGTTCTTTGGCAGAAGACAAAACCATCTCAGTTCTAGCTAATGCCAGTTAATAGCAGTGCAAACCCACAGCAGCACACAGCTGGAAGTAATTGCTCCAAGCCCTGCTAGCACCCCAGTTGTGGAGGGCCACAGTTCTTCAACTCAGCAGTGAGAAGTTGTCAGAGGGACTTCGGGCTCGCTGAACTCCCCTCACCTGGAACACCTCCGTCTGACTGGGCTGTGGGTGTGAATGCTGGTCGCCGCTTTGCTGGTTGTGATGTTGGCTCTGCCACTGGGACCAGACTTCGGAAGGTCTCCCCTGGAACTGGCCGCTGCTCTGGCCACCTTCAGCTGGCCAGGGGGAGAAAGGGCAGAAGTCAGAGAACAGCTCCTTCAAAATGTCTGCCTGCTTTTGAGGCTTCATCCATCAATGCCCATGTTTGCAAATGAGACTTAGAAAAAAGACCCTGAGTGACACCCTGCCCCTGCGGGATGGAAGCTGAAAGGAGTTTCAGCCCTGATTGCAGGGTGGGGGACAACCCGAGAGCAAAGCTCATTGCCGTGGCTGCCTCGACATGGCAGGTGAATTGCTTACAGCAAAATGCCCAGTGACACCATAAACCAGGCACTGCAAGACAATTTTCGAGTGTTCCCCCACTGGTTTTTAATTACTAACAGGGAATATTTGCCATTTTACTTAAAAACCAAACTGCATCATCTGAACGCTCTTTTCTCTTTAAAAGACTAATTCTTGCAGAGCAGTGGGTGCACAGTTACCTACTCATCTAAGAAGCATGTAAGCAGATGTAAAAACAATAAGATCAACAGACAACAGTCTTGCTGTATTAAATGCAGAGTGTTGTTTGAGGGACTACCTTGTCCTCCAATATTACCGCTGCAAAATGATTTAACAAGCAGATTGTAGCAAATAATTGTCCTGTTCGAATGGTGATGGTTTCTTAGAAGTCTGAGGCCATTTAAATTTCACAGAGAGTAATGGCAACAGCAAGGCTTTATGGTAAATACACTTAAAATGATGATTTCAGGGAGATGGATTTCTTCTAAATAGTCTACCAGAAAAAAACATGATGCCACACACATTGATGTGGTCACACATACACTTTTCATGAGTACAGTCACAGGTCACACTTAAGCTGGACTCATTTTACCCTGTACTTCTACAGACTGGCCCCAAATGTTTAAAATTTTTGGATAATTTTCCTTCAATTATTTACAATGTCTCCTTCTAAGAATTAGCATTTTAGAAAGCTTGCCACCAGGCTTATGCTTTTCCTCCAGCATTTTCTCCTTTTTCTTTTTTTTCCTTTTTTCCTATATAACTACTCCTACAATTTTTGTCTATTTTCCCCTCACTGCAGAGCACGAAGCTGGGTAGATCTAGTTCTCCCCGATTATCAGTGCCCTCTGCTGAGGGTGCCAAAATTCCTGTGCCAAACTTCTACATGCATGTTATGTCAGGTCTCCAATAACCAGAGTTGATCCTGTCCAATCAGTCACTACTCACAGTCATGGCTTCAGAAAACACAGAAACACGTGCTTAATCCAATCCTTTTGGCTACCAGCTAAACCATGCAAAACAGATAAAGTGAACATTTTACAGGAAAGTAAACAGGCTGTAGTGACGTATTTCTATCACATCTGAAGTAGATAATTACAGCTCTTCCCTTACTGACATTACCACAACCAATAATTCAGCTGACTCAGAAACCCTGCAGCCATTTTATGGGCCAAAACAAAATTCATCTAAGTTACCCTTTAAAAGAAAGCTGCAAGTTCTGTTCATTGGTTTTTTTTTTTTTTCCTTCTCAGAACAATACACTGAAATTAACTCAGTGAGGCAAATGATGCTTCTTTTCAGCAAAACGGTTACTGCCAGCCAGAGGTTCAAGACATTTGTCTCTGTGAAGCCTGTGCTATTAATAGTATCCAAACTGATGTAGGTCAGGAAATGTTTCTCATTAGGTGAAAGGGTTCTTGCCAAGTAGCTTAGGCCTGAAATGCAAGGCGCTCTCATAAACAAATGTACAAAGCCTGGTGGAAATGGAAATGGAAATGAAGGCATGAATAAGCTCTGTGGGAAGAGCTCCATTTCAATGCACTTTTTCTAGGCAATGCAGCACATGTCTGCACTCAGTGAGGCTAACCTGCAACAGATCTGCACCAATTTTATTCTCAGGGCACCAGAGAAAAACAACACACATTAGCACACTGCTACCTGTGCTTTTTAGAATTGCACATTATTATCAGCCAGCAACATTTTTCATGGACTCCATGTGTGTTTATCACTGATGGATCCATAATTTTTTCACTGCTGAATATTGTTCTGCTGGAGGAATGCAGAAAACTTACCAAGGGGTCACCCGTTGGGTCATGGTCTGAAAGCCACGGAATTCACACGTAATAGGAAAAGAAAACTACTGCAAAACATGGCACCTACTCTGATTAGGTTAGGAGCAGTGGGGGATACAAAAAAATCCTGTCTCCAGCCAAACTCCAACAAGCCACCTCTGGGCACGAGGACACTGCCATGCAGTCAGGGAAGTTGAAAAATGAAAAGAATATAAATTTGTGTCATTTTAAGTGTTCTCCTGAGAAGTAAAAAGAAATTGAACCTGCTGACCACAATTTGGGAGGGTATGTACTAGTGATGTAAGCAACTTCTGAATCTTTCATGACACCACTTACTGGGGGCGGGGGGGGGAAGTTCTCTCATACCATAAAGTGCCACAATATTCTGAAGTGTGTTGGATGTGGAGGAGATGCAGCATGGAGGGAACAGGTCATCCCTGTCCGCTATGCTCAACAGGAGGAAACAAAACCCTTTCACAACCAGGCTTCCCCATCGACCCACCAAAAGAACAGGTTGGAAGATTTTTAATGAAGTTAATGCTGGAGAATTTCACTTTGATGTGCATTTCTGTGTTAATTCATTTAAAACTTACCAAACCCTGCACTTCGGTTTGCTAAGCTGGAGTAGGCATTCCCACTTGGAGAAGAGGTGGCTGGGCTGGAAAGGGGACTGTATGATGACGGATCGGCTGGGTAGGTGTGACTTGTTCCAATCCCAAAGGGCGATGACTGAGCCTTGCCAGACTGAGACGGAATTTGCTGAGGAATAAGGGGTAAAAGAAGGAATGAGTTTTATTGTTGAGGAACAGCACAGCAGAGTCACCTTTTTAACAATGTAAAGTAAAGGCTAAATAAACTCTGCAGATGCAAAAAGGCACGTTATTCCTGTCTCAGCCATATTTCATTTCTGTCAAAGCCAACTTATTGCTGCATAAGGAACACAACAGACTATAAACCAACGATTACAGCTCTCCTGCCAATTAGCTCACATGTACTCAATATCAGAGCTATTTGGAAAACCATCATTTCCTTCACCTCTATTACGAGGATTAATCTCAAAATGAACAGGTATAAAGAATTCACCTTTATTTGCCAGGTGTTTTGATTTTGCAGTGCCACAGTAAAATCACGGTTATCTAAATGTCTTGCAGAATATACGCAGTTCTCAGATGACCAGAGCTTCCACTGCTTGGGGGAAAATGGCCAAAGAAGTTTCAAAGCTAATGAGCTGCTTTCTCTCACTGCCTAAGTACAGGCAGAAAAGTTATCTTGCCTTGTAGAAGGCTTGGGAGGGAGTGTGAATCACCAGCCTTGGGAGGAGGGAAGAAATAGTCTAACTTTCCTTTAACTAGGCAGCTGAGTTAATTCAAGGGTATTAAAAAACAACTTGCTGTCATTTTCATCTACATAATGGCTTCGTCATAGGATCTCCAAGAATGTTATACAAATGATTAAACACTGCAGACTGCTTTGAGAAATGTACAACGTGTACGCTGAGACTAAGGGAGGTGGAGTGTCTCATCCAAAGTCATGTGCTACAGCAACATATAATGCTACAAATAGAATCTGCTTATAAACCATTTCCCACACCATGAACAAATCCAGCAGTTCCAAGAAAAACTTACTGCCTAACCAGTTCCACAAAGAGAACTTAAAGGTGGTTACATCTCTGGATACTTCTAACGATGTGCACTGTTATTGGCAGTCAATGCATTCAAGTGAAGCTATTCTCTTGGACAAATGGAGGGGAGCTGGGGGAGGAAAACAGATCCCAACAGGCATATAACATGATGAAGATGCTGTTAAGTCTTCAGCTCAGTTCCAAGGTAAGAAATCATACATTTCTAAAGGTTTCCACAATGACAGTGAGAGCATGATGTGTCACTTCTGCAAGGCTTAACTCTATTTTACTTTATTTATGATGGACGAATGAATTCTAATTTCCCTACACTCGCATACAAACTCTGTTGACTTGGACTGAATTGGACAGTAAGAGGGATTAGTAATATTTTTTTAGTCAATTTTAGCGCACTCCATATTGTTAAAAAAAAAGTCAGTGTTACAACTGGATTTCATTAAACAGGTATGACAGAATAACCATGCAACACTGAAGGCTGAGAAAAATCCGTGATTAATGTGGAAATAATTCAGTCAGTGAAAAATTATTTAGTGTCTGCCCCAACACGCCATTCTAGTCTACCAAACAATGGAAAGTCAAGAGTGATTAAAAGCAGCATTAATGATACATCAAACATGATTATTTCATGTTCTTTGTCTTTAACAGTTTCAAACCAGGTTTTTCTTGTTACAGAGAACAAGAGGTAATTTCTGGGCCAACTCTGTCAAGCGCAGGGCATCACAGAGGGACGTGCTGTTTCCTTCAGCGCATGACAAAGTGTGAGCTACACTGGGCAGTGCTAATGGAGGGGCAATGGGCTAAGTAGCCTCTGCTCTGAATTTGTGCCTGCATTTGTATGTGCCCTTTTCTGATAACTCTGCTAATTGTGGGTAACATTGCTGGGTGCAAGCTCTTGGCCCAAGAAAGATTTAATGCACAGGCTTAACACTAAAGCATAACAGCTGTCCTCCTTTATTTCTTCAGTGCACACATGAAAATAAGCGCAGGACTGAGACCTTCCACTGGGATTTATGTCAGCGTAGCGACTGCCGCTATTATAAACACTATTACAAACTAAATGCAGTTACGCAGCTGTCTTAAGTTGTTATAACCTGCCAAGGAACAGAAGCGGGGGAACTGATTTCTCTCCAACCACAACTGATAACGACAAAGTACATTTAATCACATTATAAGTAGTGTTTACTATTTCTTTTGCAAAAAGCACAGAGATTGCAAATCTTTAATGACCACAAAAATAAAACACCTTTAATCAATACCTGTCCTGGAAATGGTGGGCGATTTCCTGTCCAGGCAACCTGACTCTGATTTAGCTGGCGAGATATCTGTGTCAGATTCTGGCCTGTTGATGAAGAAGACTGGATGTCGTTCACACCAGGCACATGTACCACAGATGAACTAAAGGAACAGAAACAGTGCCTCATTTGTAGGATATATTCTCAATGCACAAATAGTATTCCAGATATGGAAATTTTGATAATCACATTAAAACTATTTGTTCAGTCTGTCTTAATAAAATTGACTTAAAACCCCCACAAAACTATGAAATATATTGGCATTCCAAAATGTCAGTTCAAATAGACACAGAGGGCAAAATTATTTTGAATTAGACTTCTATAATCTCTTTGAAACGGCTTGCAAGAATAAAATCAGTCTAACAAATGCTGCATAAACACTTAGCTCCATACTAGTTTAGTATTTAATGCATTAAAAAAAAACCTGCTTGAGGAGAGTATTCAAGTAGGTACTTAATTTTAAATTTGTGCTTAAAGTCAACTGTATTTAAGCATTTGCTTAAATGCCACCCTAAACGAAGATGCACAAAAAGATGATACTTATAAGTACTTCTTTGTTTCCTGCCTGCAAAATTAAGAAGTGTGTGTTATATATTAAAAATTTGAGCTTTTAATCCCTATTTTCACCAACTGATGCTAAAAAAGAGCATGCATTATGCACCCAGGCAAAAGAATAATCAAGACAAAAACTTAAACTAATGTAATGGCTTTAGAATTAAAAAAAAAAAAAAAAAAAAAAAAGGTATTTCCAAAGGAGCTTGTTTATATGTTAGCTGTTTCCTAATTACTGAATTTTACTACATAGAAATTTCCCAGAAAATCCTAACTAGGAGGAAATTTTTATGAAGGACTGCTCCACTTTACCATTTTACTTTCTTGGAAGTCTTGAACTGAATCTATACAACCACAAATTGTGAATGTGCTTTTATATATTTTTATATATAAAAATATATATTTATTTTTTTACATGTCATATATAAATACATAAATGAATATAAATGAAATGAAGACACAACATACAAAAATGCTTTTGTGCATCAACTGAAATGGCTTGCTCTTCTCTCCAATCCCTTCCCTATTGTCTATTTTCACAATCATTTTACAGAGAAAGAAGAGAGCAGACTGGGAAAAGAAGTAAACAATGCTGAGCAGAGAGGATACAGGACTCTGAATCCTCCAAGACGACTGACAAAATCCCTCCCAGAGTGGTAAGCAAAACGTGGCAGGCATTTGAATATGGGAGTTGTCATTCTGCCTTTCTTAAGCTGCCTAAATGCAAAGTGTGTGTTTAGAAATGCTTTGTAGAGTTTGTTTTCTATTTTTTTTTATTTTATTTTCATTTTTTACAACCACAGAGTCTCCAAAGAGGGAAATGTAGACCAGAAAGTCCATCTAAATCTGGCTGAACTCAGAAGCACACAACAGCTGCTGGGGAGGACTGGCCCTACTGTCAGGTGTCGACACCAGCTTCCCAGCTGGACTGGCAAGTCCCATCGTCTAAGGGCCTTGGACTGCATCTGGAATATATACTTTGAAACCAGGAGTCTGCAAAATAGTGCCTAAAGGCTGCCCAGGCTCAGTAACTGAATGGACCAGCCTGGAGAGTATTCAGGGAAGACAGTTCATCGAGGGTGGAAATGCTGGCAGTTGTGTCATTACTTGATGTAATAGAACAGCAATAGGAAAAAAGCTATAGTTAAACATCAGGAATTAACAAAGGAAACGAACAAAACACACGCCAAACCCCAAGATGGCAAGTCAACCATCCAGTAATATACAATATCCAATTAAAAGACACTTTAATTTACTGTCATATTCCCCCCCTCCCCCCCCCCCCCCCCCACCTCTTTTGTTTTTTTTTTTT